CCTCCGAGAAGAACACTGCTGAGTATCAGGGTAACAGAGCCAGATCTCCAAAGTGCTGCAATTTCCTCGCAATTCATAAGTGGGCTCTGCGCTCCTCCCAGGTGACTACATGCACGGCACTGCATTTTGTACACTGGACAGTTTTTCACTATCTTACAATCACTTTCTTGTTTATTTAAAACCACATGCAGCTTCCCTCATATACTTACACTTCCAATTTGTAATACCACATCTGTTTGTAACATCATTTAGGAAATTTTGCAAAAGTTTCCCTTTGCCTTAAACCAAAGCTTTCACTCTTTGTGAAATCAAATCCTTTCCTTTTAGTAACTTGACTTGAAGTGGTCTGTTAGCTACAACAAGGTTACACGGTCTTCAGCATCTGTGCCACCTGAAGCTTCAGAGCCTCTTCTGGGAAAATTTGAAGGATTGCACGTGGTGTTCTCTAGTTCTCTGCTGATCTCTCTGGCTGGGCTGACAGACCAAAGGGGTTTCCTTTGCTTCTGTTTCTTCAGAGGTTTACTCCACGGTGCCAAAAGTAAACGTGGTATAGTCAGGAGTGATGGTCAGATGGTTGTTTTCAGGCCTCACTCACCTGACACGGGGTGGGTTACACACAGAACTTTACTTCCAACACACAACTATAGCTATAGAATTCCATACGACCTGCTCCAGGCAATACTGTGAGGTAAATGGGAACTACCCACTGAAAACTTAGGTCCACGGGAGATCTCTGCAGAGCATTTCTGCCTGTATTTTCGGGGTTTTTAGAGAAACCTTTGTGATTTTGCCTTTTTGAGAGAAGGACTTGTTGTAAAAATGCTGTGACAGATTGTTACAACATTCACTGCCAGTGCATTAACCTATTATCTATTTCATCTAGAGATACATATATTATATATAAAAAAAAAAAGACAAAACCCCTACTTCCAAAACTAAAAATGACTGCATACAAAGTCAAATTGTTAGTGACAACTGTAGAGACACATACCTGGGGTTGCAATGAAAAGCAATACAATATTCTTTTCACCGTGACTGATAGAGTCACCGTGACTGGCAAACAATGTAATACTTGCAAAACAACTTTCCAAAAGCCTATGACAAGATAAAAGGTTTCAGTAAAAGTTGAGATTTACAGGTGGGAAGATAAAACCCGCCGAGATTACAGCTGTGCTATCTCACTCTGCATTTTGGGAAAACAGTTTTAATTGTTGCATTTAATTGTCTTTTCAATGGAAGGCAACATTTTAAACAGATTATGTCTAATTCAGAACAGACAATGCCAATTCCATGACTGTACCCTCTCAGATTTTTGTATGCCTGGCATTAAGAGATTTGATTGCTTTTAACCTTTTGAAATGCAATGAGGCATTTGAGTCAAAATGCAAACAACATATTCAAATTATTGAAATGTAGGCTATCACAAAACTTTAGAAGTACAGTACCGAGATAAGAAAAAACAGTGTTAATACTTACAGGCAAAATTTCTTTATGGTGTAGAAAGTTTTAGAGAAATACACCTTTAAGTGTTTCCACATTCCCTGTATTGCCTCCTGCAGCAAAGCACAATGTGTCCTTGCCCCGCATTGTGACTGCCCTGTTATAGTCCATGTATAAATACAAACACGCTGAAATATGACCTACAAGGAAATTCCTGTTTCTGCCATGGAAAGCAAATTAAAGACTGTTCTGAAAGGGGAAATCCAGAAGATTAATATTGACTTACAAGCAATGAAAAAAATAGGCACACTTGAGGCAGTGATGTTTTCCATGCAGAAAAAAGCCTGGAGACAGCTTGTTTTTCTTGGTTCACCTTTCTAAATAGTCCCTTCATCTGCCCTGAGGTGTAGCTAAAAAATAATTTCCATCCTTGACGGGAAGATAAAGCAACATTAAGAACCATAAAATATCATAAAGCACCGTAACACATGACCAAGTTCACATTTGAAGAACAGCATTTACCAAAACAAAAAATGGTGAAGCAGGATCTCTTATGCTGTCTATAATGACAATGTCCTTCCACCATAGGGTCAGTGTCTGTCTTAATCATAGGTGAATTTTTTGAATTCTCTCTAGAAACATCCAGCATTTCATTAACAGTAGTGATTTTACACACTGAACCATTTGGCTAATCCTGCAGATGGCAAAGGGAATTACTTTTAGGCAGAAAATAGCTATAAACTTAATCAGGAAATAAGCTAGAAGGCCCTATGGCTTACAAGTCACTATTTGGCTACCTGGCCTTGCCCAAGGGAAAGTGTCGGGCTTCCTTATTCCGTCTGGGTTCCTCCCGGCTCCTGGGCTGGCACAGCTCTCAGCATGGGAACGTCACCAGTCAGCCGTGATGTCTGCAGTGGGAAATTTTCTTGTTAGATACTATCAGTGGGTTTTGGACATGAACTAAACTACTGTTCCACCTAGCAGAGACACTGTTCCCGACACAAGGGTGTGTTTTTCTCTTTCTTTCATTGCTGCTCTAAGTTGTCTTTCCAAGTTGCTTTCCCCTCCGGCAGTGTCTTCAGGTATTTTATGCTGATCTTTGTACATTTCCTACACTAGTGTTAGCCTGGAGGTTGTTTCAGATTCAGGCTCAACCTCATCCTTTCGTTGTCAGTCGGCAGCTGTGCTCCTTTGTGCCCTACTATTATATTTTTCCAGGAAACCTTTGGTCTACTGGGAGACCCCTTCCAACCATTGAGAGGGCCCTGTTGGCTCGTCACATCAGAGAGCTTAAGAGCTTCAAATAACTTTAGTACTTTGTCTTTTTTCTTAGACAGATAGCTACTATTGCACCTATTAGTTGGAAATCCCCAAGCTGTCCTTATTTAGTGTCCATCATGGTAATGTATCTGATGAAAACTTGCTCTGACTCCTCCCTTTTTTTTTTTTGACTTGTAGCTGTTGTGTCCAACAGTGAGAATAGCTTTTTCTACTCATAGCAGAAATTCACTGGTATTAACTCCTCTGATTCTTTTTTAGCAGTCCCTTGTAGGCTGGACCACAGATTATTTCTAGTAATTTTTAGTATTTTCCCAGTGCTTCTAAGCTACAGCTATTTTTCAGAAAATACAGAATCATTCTCAAAGCACCTTTAAGAAAAAAGCACTACATAAAAGGAATTGTGCTCCATACCTGTGATGTTGTTACATTCCTTGGCATTACTTTAAAAACTTAAATGACCTGTTTTAGAGCCCTTACTTGCTCCTTTATTGTTCCCAAGGTTCTCTGGCTGCAGAGCTACAACGTATCTGAATAAAAGGATAATTTTGGAGATGGGAATATTAACAGAAATTTAAAAATAGGCTAAACTTTACGCAAATAAACACTAACAAAACTATAAAGACATGAAAGAGCTTCAAGAGAAATAATAAACACTGAAATGTTACTGGGACGCATTTCTCATGGTAAAACAGGAATATCTTTAATGCCAGCAAATAGTCTAAGATGGAGCTATTTGCCAAAAGTAATAGGAAGAACTTTTTCATATGACCTGCTCGACACCTGTACAGTTTACTGGATAAGGACACTTTATACACAGGGCAAGATTAAGCACTGGTAGATCAGGATATTTCCATTAAAATATTTTCAATGATTTTGGCTTACTCTAAGAGAGGATGTGGCCTGACTAACCCAAGTCACTCAATGCCAGCTTATGTACCTGAACTACTTTTCCACTGGCACTGTAAAGTTCATCTTGAAAAGATGCTGAAGACCAACTACATTCTCGGCTGAGAAAGGTTTTGGATGTATTTTGGTTGGTTTTTGCTTCACCAGATGGAGTGACAAACATGCAGATATTCACAGGAAATTTTTAAAAAAGGTCTTTATTGATTTCATGCCCAAGACGCCCATAAAACAATCATTTATTTAATTCAAACAACTGTAAATTTGATTTATGAAAAAAATATATATGCCTCACTATGTCACAGTATTTGTAAGAAAATAAACTTAATAATCTGGTAACTTCACTTTAATAGTAGGTACTTATTTTCTTAAAAGATTTCAAAAGAGTAGATAGTACATTCACTGGGAAAAGGGTGAACAACTAATCATTATCAGTTTAACCAAATCATTAAACTTAGTTTTTTGAGCTAGCTACCAACTTTAAAGTGAATATAAAAAGTAGGAATATAAACATCATCAACGTAACTCCAAAATACAAAATCAAGACCATACAGCAACTAAAAAGGCACTTTTGGCTTCTGATTCAAGTAAGTATTTCCATTCTTGGCAAAATTCCTCACAAATAGAATCTATATCTATACATATAGTTTTTACTGGAACATACAATTCTGTCATTTCAGCATTACATTTTAATAACAGAGTCTTGGCATTAACTTTCTGTTGGTTCAAAACTTCTGAATCAACAAGCAGACACTTTTATTTCTGTGAGCAGAAAAACTGCAATACCACTATTTCAGGCTGTCACTTGCAAGACAAAAATCTTTATAATGGTGCTTCAATACGGCATCATCCAATTATAGTTTGTCCATGCTCTTCTTGTAAATCTTCCACAAATATTGATTTTTTTTAATTTATCCATCTTATGCTAGAGTGAAAACTAAGTAAATTGACTTCCAGATTAAGAACAGAGCAACTATTAGTCTTCATTGTGTTCATAAAAATTAAATGAATATGGAAGACTAAGAAACACCCTTTTAAAGAGCTACAAACTGTTTAATCACTGGACATACCCATAATAAGATGGTCTTTGGAAATTTCCGAGGAAGTTATGGTTCCATGAGCTAGCAGTCAAAGAAAAGATGAAGTCTCACAATTTAATTTTTGTGTTCTTAATTTACAATCTGTTTTCTGGAATAAACCTTTATAGGTCAGGTGGCTGACTTTCACAACATCTTCAGTAGCCATAAATCCTGACAGCCACACTATGGGAAATCAAGACACAGTAATTAGTATTAGCTGTCAGATTGGCCTACAGCATTTATTTCCTCTTTAAAACCTTGCGTATTGTCCATCCATCAGATACCCCAGCTTATACAATATAAAAATCTAGTGTCATTACACTTCTGTTATTAAGAATGTGCTACTCCAGTTTATAATCAAATCGCCACCCAAAACCATATCCTGATCTTTCATCACTGGTTGCATTAAAATACACTTTCAGAAGTAAAGTTCCTTGGTGAGCATAGAGACCACGCAGGGAATCTGCTTCTTCTCACTGAAGCGAGGATCATCAGACTGTGATTCAAAATTTGTGGCAACCACATAGTTGACCCGCGTGAGGATCTGCATGATCTCAAGTTGTTTTCCATGCTCATTTAGCACAGAGCACAGAGACTGCACAAACCAAGAGCCTCTTCCAGGATTCCTCCAGGAGTAATAACCTTACAGGAATGACAGATAAGAAAGTACATAGGTTATTTTTCCTCTTTTTTCTTATTATCTTGTGCTGAAGAATGGAATGGCATAGAGATTGTACTGATTTGTGGGAAAGATTCTGGCCAAAGAGTAACAAAGCACACACAGAAAGTTTAATTCTTATCACTTGTGTCACATGCCCCACTTCATGAAAGGGGAGGATAACGTGTATTAACTCTCCAAACCTCACAGTACTAAAGTACCGTTCTATATTCTTGCATTAGGGAAACTGCAATGAAGTAAGATTTCATGTTTTTCCTCTCTAACATACATTTTGTGCTGTAACTATTTCTCTTCCCACCTTCATCACATATTCAACATACTCACTAAACTGGGACATAGAAGGGCACAATTCCCAGAAAACTGTACTGCCTTCATCCCCGGCAATGTCTGTGTCTTCTCACCCACTAAATCTGGGCTTTTTTCTGTTTACACTATAGCCAGTATAACAGGGGCAGATACAAAACCCTGGCCCAACATACCCCAGGCTTTAGTGTTTTGTCCATCAATGCACAATATATCGTCATTGAGGGTCAGTCTACAGTCAAGTCAATATGGGTGATAAGTTTTCAGGCTTCTATCCCCACCCTGGCCCCCTTTCTGTTACCTGGTACTGTGGAATATGCAAAGAGAAAATCTGCTTCTACTGGGATTTTGTATCTTGGATTGGCATCAGTTTCCAGAGTGTCATTTGCAGGTCCAGAGTCAGTTTGTATACCTTCATCGAATTCAGAGCCTCTGCACGCCTGAAAGCAGCAAAGATAAAAAGAACTTGTCCAATAAGGAGAAATAAAGTGTTATAAGTATTCATGCACATTTTTCAATGGGTACAGCTTTAAGCAGTATTTTGCATGTATCAGAAGCAGAAATGCAGTTCTGGGAGACACCTAATTGTGATAAAGTTACTAGTTCACCCAATTTAAAATACGCATCCTGTATAGAAAAGGGAGGTAATGGTGTTGCGGGCTGTCAAAGCGCTAAGTCAGCATTAGCTTATTCTAACCACGATTAATTTTACCAGTCTAGAGTCATCCTCAGAACACAATTATTACATAATGTCTTGTGCAGCGTGACTGCCAGACATTTGCTTCACAGTGGACTACACATTGTCTTTGGTTCCTGGCACGCACTGCTGTAGCACTATACTTCACAAAATAACAAAATCAAAGAATAACAAACATCCTGAGATCATCCACTTCATCCAGTCCCACTTCTCAAGCAGGGACAGCTATGGCAGATGTCCAGGGCCATGTCCACTTGGGCTTGGAATACCTCCACAGATGGAGACTGTACAGTCTGCACAAGCTGTGCTTTGACCAACACCTCTTGCATAAAAATAGCAGTCTGAGGGGCTTATAGAACATGAATTGGTTGCCTTTAGTAAGATAATTTTAAAGGCAAAATGTACCCATTCCAAACTTACAACTAAAAGAAATATCACTTTAGTAGTATGAAGAGTCAAAAATAGACAGAGTTTTCACTTTAAGGTTGAGGACTAATTGATGGAGTAGCCCTGGGAAAGCCACATCTGCCATATCTAACATCAGATCATTATGATAAAAAACACAATTCAGACCCGTGAGTCAGTTAATGTCAGTTAATACTGTTGGAAACATCTGTTTTTAAAAGCTTAAGTAATACACAGTTAATTCTATGCTAATGTAATATAAACTTTCTGGTTACTGAGGGACAGAAAAAATACTTCTTTTAGCAGAGCGCAGTAATTTATAGAGACAGTTTTTATTCAAAAAGACCTGCACAGTATTATTTCTATTGATAATCACGTACTGTCCTCAGCTCTGTCTGCACAAGAGGGAGTTTATCTTCCTGTTCTGAGGTTCGTGTGTGAACAAGCACAAAGAGAAATAATGTACAAAATTACAATAATACATTATTTACATCTGTGAATTTTGTGCGCAAATTATCTTTTAGAAACAAACACCACAAGTCACCCACAGTCAACTTCTTTCAATACATTTTTCACAAAACCTTCAGCAAAATTCAGTAAGTTGATCTACAGGGCTCTTCTAGAGCAGAAAACCAACACAGCATGTCTTCCCCACTGTAGTAGGATACTCTATTTACCTTAAGGCTATTACCTGAATGAAAAATAATTTGGGTTTGCCTATAAGGCTTTTACACTTGTCTCCTCTGAACAGCGCAGTCAAACTCTTGATAGCCATGGGTCCATCAGTGCCATAGATGAGGCCTTCTTCCCCGTGGCTTAGAAGGATACAGGCAAAACAAGCAGCATCACTGTGATTCTCCTCAGCAGCTAAAATCAAATACTTCTTAGCCAAAAGGAAGCAATATTTTACATGAAAAACATACTTAGCAAACACATTTTTCTGAGACTAAGCATACATTGGGCCTCTACTGGAAGACATTAGAAGGAGTGGATAAAGGTGATGCAACCTGCTTTTTGGGAACGCGATGAGTACCTTGAACACACAAACACATCCTTCACTTGACTCCGAGTCTAGCCCAATGGGGTCAACAGGCTGGACTCTTTATTTAATATGACAAGGCTCTTTAACTAATCCATGGAACAGATGCCTCACCTAATATGACAAGAAAACTGTATTTCTGATTGGTGTTGGAGGAAGAGGTGGGGAATTAAGCCTAGTCCAATCAGAAACTGAATCCTTCTATATGGAGAATTGGACATATTAGGGCCTGAGCAGTCTGTTCTAATCTGACCTGTTTTGAGCAGGGGGGAAGATTTGGTGACTTTCAGAGGTCTTTTCAACTCCAAATTATTCTCTGTTTCTAATTTTACCTTGCTTCAGTAATTTTTCCATATCATTACGGCTTCGGTCATTGTATGTGCAAACCTCAAACCCTAAGTTTCTAAAACTCTTAGCTAGATCTCCAGCATCTTTATCAGTGCCATTGCGTGTACCCATTCCTGGCAAAAAAAAAAAAAGAAAGAAAAAAGAATATGGTTGATTGCACATTACACAATTCAAAATAAGTCATGTGTTCAAAGGTAAATTTTAAGGTTTATAATTAATAAACAATGTCACGGTGACATGGTTTTAAAACAATCCTCTAACAGCATTCTCAGCAGTGAGAACAAATTGTGAGCTTCAGTTTAATGCAAAATAATACAATGTTCAATATCAACACATGCTATCCTGAAAAATATTGGCATGTCTCTAGCACCCTGCAACACAGGACCTCTTTCGGTTATGCAGTGTTACATATGCATAACACACCCGAAAGAAAAACTGTCGAAAAGAGTCCCCATGGAACTCACATGAAAGAAAGTGTTGTAAGTTCTTTGGAGTAAACACTTTATTGAGTGTGTCACCAAGTGTATAGGAAAAGATCTGTAAAGTCGACTACAACACAAATATCTGCTTTGAAACTGTACACGGTCTGAAAAGTTAAATGCAGGAGTGTGAACAGGGCACAGCTATAGCTATTTGCTTTTGTTGCTTTTAGCTGTAGCTCTGGGACAGAGCAGTTATAACATGTGCTACAGATGCCAAGGTGCAAATTTTAACAACGCAGCACTAAGCTCTGAGAGAAAGGTTTAGTTGGAAGTTGGTGGACCCGGGTGACATGCCCTTTGAAAAATATGCTGCAAAGAAGCTGCAGAGTTGTTTTAATGTAAGTGTTAAAGACCAGGAATAAACTGTAGGAACAACTATTTTTCAAAAAAAGAGAAACATATTCATTACAATTCCGTGTCCTCAAAATAAAATGCTTATTGACTAATGAAAGTACAAAACTTCTAAAGTCTGTAATGAGTGTCACCAAAGGAAGTACATTACCTGTTTTGTCTTCAAAATTTTTGTTGTTTATAATAATGCATTTGCCAACTTTCTTGTAGTCCATTTTATACTGGAATGTGGGTGTAACAATTCGGTACTGATTACTGAGAGAGGACTTTGGCTGTTCTTCTTCTCCATTTTTCCTTTTTCTAGGTGAATCAAATGAAATTATTGTTAGCAGCCAGTCACACGTAGCGTGGTATTTATCTTAATTCAAACCATTCAGTCAGCCCTACCTAACGTTTTTCTTCTCTAATGTTTGTTTTCTTCCTTCATGTTCCAAAACAAGGTATAAAGATCTTGTGATTTCCATGAAGTGATTATTGTATGTGACTGGATTCTGCTGATGGTAAAATGACTCTAGAGGAACTGCAGCCAGAGGCAGTATATGCAGATCCTGACCCACAGATAAAACATGAAGTCAGGTCGGTGGCAATCTTTCACAAACTGTGGCTCTGGACACATTTTACTTTTACTATAAATAATTCACAGAAGGACAGATAATCTCCCCTAACAACTATTTCAAGCACAAGAAGATTTAGTTTACTCAATGCATGATAGGATTTGTTTACACCATCATTCCTAAACTCTCTGAAGACTATGACTGAGCAGTAGGTTATAGAAGTGAACAGATCATGCGTTCATTTGGTCTGCCAAACAGCAGACTGAATCTAGGCGAAAAAACAGAAACATTTTAATGCAATCATTGATACCTGAACATCACTTAAAAAATAAACCAAAACGAGCTATAAATGTTCTCTGTTAACATGACTGTGTACTGACCTTTCTTCTGTGTGCCAGTCTTAGACTGTATTAGAAAGAGATGCAGAGGGATAGCACTGATATTACCGATTTATTCTAAACGAAGTGTTAAGAACAGATCAGTTACAGCCGGCAGGCGCACCTGAAGCACGAGCCTGAGGAGCTCTGCAGTACTTGCTTTGAGAGCTGGACGTGTTGGTAAGACCTCCTCAAGCAGAACTGAAGCCAGTGAGAGCCTGTAAAGGGGCTGATTCAACCTCAGAACTACAGACAAGCTTTGGAGCGAGCCTAATGAGAAACAACGCTCAGGAAAGGGCAGAAGTTTTCAGCATCTCTCTTATTTGGTCCAGCATCCTGCTTCCAATAGTATTTTTTGCTGATGGCCAAGAGGAAAATGTACCCTGCTTTCGCAGCACAAATAACCGTATAATACAGCTTGGTTTTAACTAAATTAGATTTTTCCCATAATCACAATTAATTTAAACACTTTCACTATTCTCACTCTAACATCTTTCTAAAGAATTACTACACTATTTGCTTCAATAATAGGCTGTAGGCATGAGACTGATTAAATGTTGTTTAGGTAATCCACTTTCTTACCTTCCTGATTTAACAATTGTTCTCTTCTAGCTTTAAGTGTTCCCTTTTGTATTACTAAAGGACAGGACTAATTGGAAACTGTAACAAACCTTCTCTAGATAATCCATCATTTTTAAATGCTACTGCAATTCAATTCTAAAAGTGCTTCTTATCTTTGAATGCCCTCATGTTCTACTATAAAGGGCTAAATTAAATAGCTGCACCTGGCAGGCTTTCTCTGTATTTTTTTTTACATGTGACCATCCTAGTATCATCTCCTATTTTAGACTTCCCTTAGAGACTACAAAACAAGATATTGAATCATATCTACTTGAGGGTTTTGTCTGACACTCTGGAAGTACATTTTTTTCTGGCAAATTTCAAGTATTGGTATTCTCCTTGCACACTGCTTGAGGGGTCTGGGAGCAATAATTAAATATGGTTTGCCTGAAGAAAAGATATTAGTCATTTTAAAGAATTATCCACAGCTGTGTGATACTAGATTTGCCTTTCAAAGAGATCTTGGTTTCTTATTTTAGCCTAAAATTCCTCCTGGTCCTTTATCACTAGACAGCTCTCTGGCAAAGAGAGAAAAAAATTTCAAAACAACAAATAACCACTCAGGTCGATGAAGAGGCTGATTTCCCCAGTCCACACTGGATTCAAGTTTCTACAAATTTATCTGGCTTCACTGACTCCCTGAAAAAGCTAACGGACTAACGGTGGCTGTTATACACAATAGGATATTTTCAAGGGAATTGTACACAAATTTCTATTTATGTCCAACCCAGGAACAGTTGTGAAAACTCGAGACAGATCCACATAAGCAGAATCGTATCATGTTTGCACTGCCTGCTCTCCTAAAATGCTGGAAGTGATCTAATTCTAGTCCACAAGTCATGCAGCCACATTACTTCACAAAAAGCCTCACTGAAAATAGCAGCTGGGGTTAAGTGGCAACAATAACGTGGCCACGCAACTTCTTTGAAAACACTTCACTTCCAAGCTCAATAGTTTGTACTCATTCATGCAGAAATACGTGGGAGTTTAAGGACTGCTCCTACTCCTGCTGGTATTCCCCAAAGCATGCCAGAAGCTCTCTGCCGGTCGATGTCAAATGTCACAGACAAGCCTCGCCAGCACGGTAGCACACATTGCCATTTCCCCATTCCTTTACAGAGGATCGTATGGTTTTGTTTCAACGACTCCTTCCAAGCTGAACAGGCTAACGAGATACTAGAGCATGCTTTGAAGGGTTACGCCTACCATTTCTTTACTGGCAGATAGCAAAACGTTCCAGGAATCTTTAGGTACCTGTCCGAAATGGGCAAATAAGGAAGTAAAGGTGGTGGAGGATATATATCCTGGCCTGCAGTCCAGAGAGAATTGCATTTTGAAGACTTTGTTTTCTGCGCCAGCATAGCACAATAAGGGAATTGTCTGACTGGACTAAACCAACTGTAAGGTCCAACTCTTCAGTTTCAACAAGCCGAATCAGACCTTTTAATAATGACTATGTAATAATCAGTCCTTAAGGGAAATGTCCTGTCAGTGTCAGGCTGGCTTATGACTGAATGCCTAAAGCTTTCCGGATAATTTTTTATTTTCTGAGCTTTGAAGTGGACATGTGTTAATATAAATGTTTATTGCTGTTGTTCTTACTTAGTAATGACAGTATATTCTAGAAGGGTTTTCACAGGTTAGTTATGAGCTGCTATAAAAACTATTTGCCTTCAGTTTCATTTCATTCTGTTTCTGCTTCTTTGACACTCAGTGTCTTTAATTCCCTCTTTTGGGATTCAAACCTGCCCAGACTAAATAGAAACTTGAATTTTATCTCTGTTTGCTCTTTCTTCAGCTTTTAATTACAACTGTGCCATAACTCCTCACTCTGCTATTGGTCACTGATCTTTCCCTCAGACAGAAATTCTCTTCCTATCAGTGCTGCCACATCTTTTACATTCTCTCTCTTGGGTCAGGAGTTCAGCATCATCAAAACTCCACTCTGGCACCCCCATGCAGCTTGCACATTTTCACCCTTACTATGTCTCTAAATCCAGGCCTTAGGCTTGACAACAGTATGTCTGGGAACATTATTTCATCAAGTCTAGTCTCAATCGGTGTCAACCCTGGGAAAATCATTATTATCAACTACTCACTTTTCAAAAATAAAATTGAAGCTACCCTTATCATTTACTGCTTTCTATGAACTTTTAAATAGTGAAAGCCAAATTTCTTATCACCATGGCTAAAATTCTGCCAAAGTCAATGGAGAAACATCACTTCCAGCAGCAGTGAACTCGACTGTATAAAGGACTGCTGCTGATTGCAACAACTTTCTTTTCTGTTGCACTTTGGATAAATTATGATTTCAGTATGTAAGGATAAAAATATCGCTGTTACCATTTAACTATACCTAAAGATTATTTTCCATAACAATTTTACTGAAATCACTGTCTACTAGCAGCTGAGATTTCCTCTCCTCTTGCTTCCTTTCCACTGCTATCTTCCTGCACTTTCTTTGCTACTGTGTATTAGCATACAGAGAATGCATGTGTAGGAGAACTGCTTCCTTGAGTGTTGCTGATTCTCATCCTCTCTCCTGCCTGCTAGAGCCAAGCTTTTGGGCTCAGATGTCCTAGCCCTCCAGAGATAAAAGTGTTTCAGTGAGAACCAGCTGCTTAACTTCAAGTTTCCATGGGGAGGGTCTTCACTTCCCATCACATTATATATTTATTGTCAGCTGTGGAGCCTCATATTGCCAGCCTTCGTGCAAGGTGTAAGGGCCAGTGACTGTAAAAATACCTCCTGCCTTAAGAAAGATGGTCAGCTCTAATGATAAGGACTCCCCAGGATAATGCAGGGCAAGTTCTCAAGAGAAGAATATACGAAAAGGAAATCTTAAGCAAGTGCAATCTCTAAGGTAGGAACCTTATCATTAACCGTGTCAGTAGAGCTCTCCTGAAAACACGACCTGCTTTGGCTTAAAAGCACCAGGACCCTTAGCATGAAGACAAATTTCACAGCCATCACTTCCCAGTCACAGGATGGGAGGAGTTTTCTGTTTGTTTCTTTTTTCCCGTTTGTTTGCTTTTCTAAGAGGAAATGTATTAACCAAAATGAGCTCTAAAAATTATATTACAGGGATATATCATAGAATCATAGAACAGTTTTGGTTGGGAGAGATCTTCAAAATCGAGTCCAACCACCGCCCTGGCCCTATCAACTCCACTAAACCATGTCCCTCAGCACAACATCTTCCCACCTCTTAAACATCGCGAGGGATGGCAACTCAATCACCTCCCTGGGCGGGCTCTTCCAAGGCCGGATAACCCTTTCAGTAAAGAAATTCTTCCTAATATCTGACCTGAACCTCCCATGGCACAATGTAAAGCCATTTCCCCGTGTGTTATCACTTGCTACTAGGCTTTGAAAACAGCTACAGTCCCTTTCCCTCCCAGGAAAGTTAGGGACTTTTGTTGCTATACTGAAAAATGTAAGCAGATAAAAAAATTCCATAATTATGACACTATTCAATTTATGGAAGCTGGCATTCAGAGGTGGGTGGAAAAGGCTAAATTGATTACATTCATTTCTATTTAAAGTAGACACAGACAGAAGAAGAGAGTACTCTGTCTTGCTCTATGAAGTTCAGCACATTTGGACTTTACTTGATAAGGAATATCAGAGAACATTATGATATTTTTTTATTCCTGCATGCTTCTTTAATAGAACATGCAGTCATATATCATTTTTGAATGACTGGTAACACATTATAGCAGTAATACAGTGACTAAGTCACTGCACA